TATATATATATATATATATATATATATATATATATACAGACAGTATTTAAAACTGAAAATTAATATGTGTATATATACCCATGCGACTAAGAATCAAAAAAAAATTTTTTTTTTATAAAATTTACTGCATAAACTAAGATAATTTTATTTACTCAACGGTCTGAAGTTGCAGATGTTGCTGCTTTTAAGGGATATTTTTTGTTTTTGTGATGTACTCAATGGAAGGAAATTTGAGTCAAGTTTATTTTTATTTTCTTTTTTTCTTATTTTTAGATTTGTACGGCAACATTTGTACCAGCAAGAGCAAAAACAACATTAAGTATTCAGCGAGTTAATTCAAATTTTATTTTATGGTACGTTTTTGTTAGTCTTTTTGTCTCTTTTATCCGCTTTACTTTTGTTTGTCCCTTATTTTCATCTCATTTTTTTAAAGATTTTTTGCTTTTTTTCTCTACTATCTCACTGTTTTTCTTCACTAGTTCTTCTGCAAGAGAATAAATGAAAAAAATAAGACTAAAAATGTTAGTCATTCTTCTTACGGTCTAAATATTATTCTCATAGGATCAAAATAGAGCTGGATTTATGTACTTTTTACTCTTTTTTTGCTGTTTTTGGAATATTTCTACCGAGTGCAAAAAAATAGAGCATCAGAAACACGCAACTTGCAATGAAGATCTGATAAAAAGCTGAACGGAGCTAGCTGACAATATTCTGTTTTTCGTCCGTTTCTTTTCTGCTGTTATCATCAACGCCTTTATTCTTCTCTTAATTTATCTTTAGATTTTTTTGTTAAATGTGTGAAGAGAAAGTTTATATCAATTTTCTTTGTATCTGGTTGTTCTCAGCATACAAAAAATTAGAAAAAAGATGGTTGTTTTTTCTCATTGTAATAATTGTAAAAATCTTTAATTCCTTCAATAAACAATCAGCTTTTTTGGACGCTTAAAAGTTTACAGAATTCTAAGATTAAACATTTTATGAAAGTATTTTTTTGCAATTGCTTCTATAGTTGTTTTTGAAAAAACTGTTTTTTTGGGGCAGAAGTGAGTGGGTATGAAGTCCTCTTTTTACAAATGAGTGTGAAAAAAAGCGGCTAAAACAAGGCGTAAAATAGGCAGTAACTGAGAGGAATAAAAAATGAGTGATTAGAAACGAAGTTTGCTGTAGAAAAGAGAGAGGAGAAAAAGTAGGGAAGAAGCGGTCGAAGTTGAAGAAGAAGAACGTTGGATTAAGGGCCTAAATGGCTGATTGTGTAAAAAAGATTAATTGTGTAAAAATTAGTACGATAAAAAAAGTGTTGGAAAAAAAAAGAATTTTTTTATTATGTTTAACTTGTTAAGTACTTTACTATTTGTCTTTGTTTTTTTCCTGCGTCTTTAGCAATTCCGATCTCGTTTTAACTCATGAATGCTGATTAATTTGAAAAGAATGAAATCAAAAAACAAATCTATATGTTGTTAAGTGAAAAGAGAGAGATAAATGGCGGGAAGAGGAAGGAAAAAGAAAACATGATTTGTTTAAATCTTTTTTTACACATTTGGCTGCAAATTTGTTTTTAAAAACGATACTGTTTTTATTGTTTCACTGTTTTTGCTTATTTTGTTGATGTCTCTTTTATGTCCGTTCTGCTCGTAATTAAAAATACTGATGTGATAATTTTTTTAATTATTTTTTTGCACAACTACAATTCTTGCTTATTTTTTTCACCAATTTTTTCTCATTTAATATCAGTGTGATGACACTGATGATACAATATGGGGAAAAAAATGGACTCTGTAATTTAAAAGTTTTTTCTATGCACCTGCCATGTTGTTTATTTTTACTAACGATAGAAGTGTCGCAAGTTTACGTAGCTTGACTAGCTAGCTGCTCACTTAGTTAGTACGTTGGTGAACACTAATAAAAGTTTCTTGGTTTTTACTGGGTGTGCTATTTATTGTTCTTTTAATAAATGCTGTTTTTCAAACATTTGGAGCAGCAGAAAAAAGAAATTTCTTTTACTTTTTTACTGTTTTCAAAATCTAGACTGTTACTAGTTTCAAATTTCAGTGACAACGGGGCGTGATATGATTTTGTATGCTGTCGGTACAATAAACAATCACTGGATGTTTCAAGGTTCAATTCTACTTTTAAAAAATGAATGTCGCGGAAAAAAGAAGAAAAATGTAATTTTGAACTTAATGAATGCCACATTACTTTCTTTGATGTTTTACATTTTGATTTGGTGGCAACGACAGCGATGGATGTAACTGAAGATGATGAACGAGAAGACTAAATGGTGCTGATTATGGCGGTGATGACTTGTCCTTATCTAAGTTAGCAAAAACAAAAAGAACAAATAAATATCTGTATTATAAAAAAAGTTATTTTCTTTTTTGTTAATTATTGTGACAGCGACTTACACAAAAATGTTTTCTAGAGTTTCTCGCGAAATTAAAAGCTCGGTGCTGCTTATTCTCTTATGTGTAAGTGCTGTCCACTATTTTCATTCTTATATAAATTAGTAGAGAATAGAAGTAGATAAATAAACATTAAAATTTACAGCTATAGTTATTTTACTTTCTTTTGAAAATGGAGAAGAAAACTCAGTTTTTTCCTCTGCTTCCTACGCAAAGTCTGTAAACCTTGCAGTTTTCGCAAAAACGATTAACTCCTTTTCTATTTCATCTATCATAGTCATCGTTATGATCTATCTGTCATTGTTATTTTCTGCTTAAAAAGGTGTACGTAAAGTTTAAATGGAAAATTTTACTGATAAAATGTTAGGGAAAAAGAAGTGGTAGGATGGTGATTTTTGCCGCTGCTTTCGACAATGGTGTTGGTGCTGACAATGGCGTTGGTTTCGCTTCAGCTTAAAAGGCATATGCAGTGAAGGCCAGCATTTTCTGCTTTTCTATTTGCAAAACTGCACAAAAATTGAAAAACAGTTGTAGCATTTTTCAAAATTTTCTTCTACCTTTGTTATGTGGTTAAAATTTCAATTTAAAATTGCTGAAAAAGAGCAGAGTGGAAAAGGAAAGGTAAAAAGGGGGAAATTTATGCCTCTTCACTTAACTTGGAAAACTATATAAATTTGTATTATAAATTTTAAGAAAAGCTAACAGTAAACTTTCTTTATTATATTAAAGTATACCCTGAACAAATATTTATTGTTTCTACTATCAGTATGAAAAATATAAAAAGTAGAATGGTGCACGTAACTGAACAGTCAAAACGTGAGCCTTTTCTTTCGAGGAGGGAGTAAGATGTATTATACTAAAGAATTACTCAACGCTATCAGAGCACCAATAAAAGATTAGACTTGACTCACGATTCAAAGCTCACACCACATGCGTCTCTGGGCCCCTGCTCACTTGCCTGAACTGTACAGGAGGTCTGGTCAACCGTGCTTAGATCTTAACCAGCAAATTTCACCAATCTTCACGTGCCTTTGGAGGCATGGAGGAGAATGATATCATACTTTTAGAAGGAGAAGAGAGTTGAGAGTAAACAAAGGATGTAGCTGATTAATTACGGTATACAGCGTTCGTACCAAAACCGAACAACTTTCTTTTATAAGTTACTCTGACTGATTCGATCGGTTACTGTTATTTGGCAAATTCGGCAGCAGCTGCAGTTGCCGTTTTTACTGGCACAAAGAAATGATCAGAGTAAGCGTATGATAGAGGATAAACAATTAGTGTTATTCTGTTTTCTAATTCTTTTTTGCTTTTTTTTTTGCGACATTTTTGGTTAATCCTGACCGCCACTGTCCGACTGATATACACGAACACTGCTCGTCTATTGTAATAATAGTTTTGTTCTATCACTGTGTTATTAATTTTAAGTGATGATCGTCTCGTGTGCACATTTTTTTTCTTTTTTTTTTACCGCATACTTTCTCGCAATTGGCAAATATTCGTTCCGCTGTTATAGAATTATGATAATGTCTTGAACTGGAAATTATTTTTATATATTTTAAGATAACTTTTGCCATATTGGTTCACCCTGAACACCTAGAAAGTTTAAAAAATTGAGGAAAACTCCCCACCAGCAACATTCAGTTAACATAGGAAAGCATCAGTTTCTTTTTTTTAGTTTTAATATTTGTGTTTGTTTGATTGTAGAGTCTTCTTTTTTTTTGCAAGGTATCAGAAAAGTGTTAACAAATGCGGAGTAAAGTAATCATGCGCCGATGATGGTGGAGGTTACTTATATGTTCATGATATTGGCACATATAATTGCTATCCAGTTAACCAATTCAAGCAAAGTAAGTGGCTTCTTAATAGAATTCAGCTGTTGGTCATTCAAACAGTTGACGTTTTCACAAATTGTTTTTTTTTTTGTTGTTTGCAACGTAAAGTTCTCCTTTATCTTAGCCGTTTCATCATCGGTTGCTAGCGGCCCTCCAAAATCGAAATTTATGACAGCTACGATATATTACAAAAATTTGCATTAAAAGTACATTGTGTACACAGAAAAAACTCACGTTTTTCGCAGCTTTCAAAAGTCAAATGATTTTAAATCATTCCAAAAAGTAGAAAAAAAAACAAAAGAGGAAATTGTACAGTTTTTGACTGAAAACAAAAATGCATTAACTTTATAGTTCAATTGAGTATTATGTGAATAAATAGTATAAGCAAACTGCTAAGTCTTTTTGCTTTGTTTAGCCAACAAATGAAGGAAATCTGACTCTTTTGAATGGCTTTGGTGAAGATATAGTTGCTAATAAAACCCGACGTATACTTATCTCATACTTGGGAGCATTCAGTAAAGTATCGAGACTGAGTAGTTATAATGCGGTACGTCAAACTTTACTGATGTTTGCGCAAGAAGAAGGACGGAAATGTAAAAGCATTTCTATAAATTATAATGAGAAGAGAAAAAAGAAAGAGAAGAAACCTGGTAAAAAAGCACTTTTCCTTTTTTTTGACTTTGTAGTGAAAAGAAAAAAGGCGCTGAACTATTGAATAAAAACCAAAGTGCATAAGAAAATGAAAGCAAAAAGGTGCTTTTTTACAATGATTCCCGATAACAACACTGTAACAACGAAGAGTTTGAAGAAACACCATTTTGCAAATAACTAGAAGCGGAAATCAATGAAATAGTGTCATCTTAGCTGTTGAAAGTATTATAAGTTGCAGAAAACTGTATGGCTGCAGAACTGTTTTGAAGCAAATTTGAGTTGTTTGCATGAGGGCAACATTTTGCAGACAGGGGAAATAAAGGGAGAAATTGGGGTAGAAGTACATTGGTTCTTTTTTGGAAATAAAACCGTTTATTCAGTAGACAGTAAACCAGAACACCACTATGCCGCACGCTGTAGTGCAGGGTTGACAGCTTCATTGTTTGGTGATGAAGTAGCATTTATCAGAAAAAATTGTATTTTACATGGTAAATTAGAAATTCTTTTTTTTTTTGCTGTTCTTTTTTGCAAAACTAACAGAAGAGGCTGGAATAGAAAGAAGAAAGAAGGAAAGAAAATAAATAGAAAGAAAATAAATTTGCTCGATTTCCACCTCACTGATTCGTTAAAATTAAATAAAAAAGTTTTAAAAAATTATTTTAATTTTTCTTTAACTGTTGCCAGTAAATGGGAAGAAATTTTTTTGATATATAAGACGAACTGTCATCGTTTAGAAGGGTGTTAAAAAGCTGGATAAGCTTCATAAGGTCATTGTTTTTTTGGTTTTTCATTCATTCTTTCCTTGTGACAAAACATCACTCTTTAAGTTTTAGTAAAGTACGGACTCTGTCGTGTAATATCTAAGGTAAATTTTTTGAAAGGAAAGAACGACTGTTTAGAAATCGAAGGTCTGGCCGCTAAATTTATTCCCTCATTTATTTCAAAAAGCAGTTTTTTTCTTCTCCTCTTCCCTTCTTTACAATGGTGCTTAAAATCTGTTAATTATTCAGGAAACCGGTGCCGGCCTTTTTGACGTTTTGAACAGCAGTAGAAGCAGTTCAAATATTCAAGCCAATTGCATTGATGTCGATTTTATGGGTGAGTGAGGTATTAAAATGTGAAATTTTGATCATAAAATCAAAACTGTTACTATGTTACGCTTCTTTTTTGATATTTTCCATTTTTGATGTTCTTGCTGTCATCTTGCGATTAAGAGCGAAAGAATGACAAAGAAAAGACAAGAGAAGAAGTAAATATACATTTGTTAGACAATTTTAAATTAAGCATTGAGATTACTTAAAAATGTGGTTATGTTCGTTTTTGTAAGCTGATTGGCTACTTTCATTTAAAAAATTGCAATTTTTTTCAAACTGGTTGACAAAAGCAAGCAAGTCACTTGGCTTGAAAAAAACTTTCATTAATTCGGCTATTAGTTATATTTACTCTTCTTTTTCCTGATCTTTTCCTTTGTATTCATTCATTTATAAAAGATTCGGCTTTTTTGTTCTTGTTTAATGGTATGTTGGTTAGGTTCTTACATTTCTGGAGCATTTCACTTGGCTGTCGAGCAAATCAATGCAGATCCAGGTCTGTTGCCTGATTATCACCTGGAATACGTCTTTGATAATACATGCAGAGATGAACTGCTCAGTGAGCTTATTGAAATCGTATGATTGGACTACTTATACATATTTGTGTCTTTGCTCTGCTGTTGCCAGCGGACAATACGATTAGCAATTTTTAATTTGACTTTCATTTTTAGGTACCAAATGGTTTATGGAACATTGGAAACGTGGAGCTAAAGCATTTTTTGGTTTCGAGATGCGCTGCAGAGCTGCTGCTGTAATGGCTGCAGCTCAGAACCTCCCAATTATATCCCATAAATGCAGTGACGAAAGCGTCTCTAACAATAAGTAAACTTTTTTTTATTTCTCTCATTTCATCTCCCGCTGCATAACCTATTCAAAAAGAAATAGCCATCTTTGATACTATACGCAGCTGCTGTCAAAAACATTTTTCTGTCCCAACAAATTAGAAACTAATTTAAGACAGAGAATCAATTAGCCTTACAGCAATACACAATTTGAGATATTACAGTTACCCAACGTTTGCGAGAACTGTACCGGCTTTAACAGAAATAACTAAAGCATTTCTATCGCTTTTTAATCACTTTAAGTGGCGAAAATTTACTGTTATCTGTGACGATTCGGACAAAAGTGAGGTCATGCTGCGAACAATTAAGGTGCTCATTTTTTTCATTTATTTTTGGAAGTCTTAGTTATCAGTAATTAAGCAAGTTTTATATTGATTATAAACTGCTTTTTCTGTAGTAGCTTGTGAGTTATTCTGGCAAAAACAAGCGTTACTCCTAGGAAGCCATTGAGAAGGAAAATATTCACTTAAAAAAAAACGATTATCCACTATTTACCATAACAAATATTACTGTCGTGCGTTTTTCTGACGTAGGAGAAAACAGCAGTTTAACACAAACTGTATTGGACACTTACCTTACAACACGAAGTTGGCTTCTTATAATTTTATCTAAATAATTTTGGAAAAAAGTTTATGATTACTGATGCAGAAGTAAATTAACTTGCAATTGTTAAGACCGTCAAAATAGCTTATGAAAGACTACAGTCCAAAATTTTGCTATAATTAGCTAGTTAGCTAAATTTTGACCACCTTCGATTTAATAAAATTTTACCGCTACTAAACTGTTTAGTTTACTTAACATTTGGAAACGTTCGCATGTTTCGTTTTCTTTTGCTTGAGATGGGTAGAACGGGATTAATGGATAAAGGCGAGTATGCTCTTGTCTATTTGGACGCTGAGTACGACTGGAAGGACGTATACCATGCGATGAACAATCATTTTTTTCGAAGTGAGACAAAGAAATTGTTTTGACTGTTCAGTGTCAGAAAAATTGCCCTTGCCTCAATGTTTTAATATTTATTTATGAATACAGAAACGAAATTTGACAAGGTTTTTTCTTTTTAACTGTGTTATATCTTTTGCAGATACTCTTAAGACCATAAGCCAGTCTTGGGATGACCCAGACTCTGAAGACCTTGAGTTAATCAATTACTCCAGATCAGCAATTGCCATTATTTCTACACCTGTACAAGTGACATCAGCTAAGTTTCAGTATTTCTGGAGAAAAACAAAAGAATATTCGATTCATTTTAAGCAAAAAAAGGTTCCTGAAGGTGTTGAGGTGAAGAAAAAATTCTTGTAGCATCAATGTTGTAAGCAACCAGATTTAAAAGCGTCGAAAAAAAAAGACAAGTCTTGAGTTATGTGTACAATTTGAACACTCTTTGAGAAAGAGCCGTCGTATTTTTTATCGACAACTTATCAAATTGTTTTAGTCTAATCGTTTTGCTTGCTATCTTTATGACGCTGTAAAACTTTATGCTACCGCATTAACAGCTGTTTTGAAAGAAACAAGCCAGGAAGAAATTTCTCGTGGATATGATCCAGTTTCTGACGGCAAAAGAATAATTCAAAAAATTATTGGAAGAACCTATCGAAGTATAGTTCTCAAAGTCATATTTTCTGAGTTTTTTTATAGCACAGTTTTTACCAGGCAGCGACGTGCAGAGCTACGAATGTTATTAAAACTCGTTTTCAGATGTTTCCACGATATGTTAAACTTCTAATTTGTTGACTTTGTATTGCGCTTGATTGCCTATCAATGCATTTAGTTTAGGCATACAGGGCTTTGAAACACGCATAGATAGAAACGGGAGTGCCATGGGGAACTATACATTATTAGCGCTGCAGGAAGTGGAACCCGTGACAGATCCAAAAAATGCCAGTTATTATCCGTTTAATGCAGCTTTGACTGTTACAGCAGACTTTGTTTACGAAGGAGTTCTACCGATGCTGAGATTCAAGCATGCAATTCAGTGGGTGAGGGGTAAACCCCCTTTAGACGAACCTAAATGCGGTTTTTATGGCGAGAAGTGCTCGGTACAAAAAGATGAGTATTATTGCTTTGCAATGTTTTCAGCTGTTCAAAAGCAGATATATTCTTATGATTTTGATAGAGTAAAAAGTTCTGTGCAGAAAACACTGCTGTAGATTTCTTTACATTAATGGGACTAGCTTAATTCTAACAGTAAGCCATTTTCATATATATTTTTAAGTTTCTGGCTTTACAATTTAGAGAATTTTAGGCATACTTTTTTGGATTCTTCTATGTTTTCTTGTTTTATCAACAGCGTTTGGTGGAGCATCTTTTTGGCGGTAGGTTTCACCGGTACTTACTTCTGACTTACTAGGTATCAACAATTAATTAGAAGCAACATCGTTTTACTGGCGTTTCAATACTTAACTTATCAGGGCTCGGCAACATAAAAAAGACAGCGATAGCTTTTGGAAGATTGAACCTCTTGAAATAAAAGAAGTTACTGGATGGAACTCTGATACTCTTCCCAGTGTTCTTGAAAAAGTATGCTTTTGGGAAAATATTTTTGAAAAAAAAGTCATTGAGGAAAGCAGAACATAATTTTATCATTCATTATTTAGTTTAAGCCTTCTAACGTTAGTTTGACTCGCTAAAAGTTATCTTGAGCATGTTTTTCCCACAGGCTTTAATTTCTGAAGCAGATGACTGCGGACGAATGTTGGCTGGTCAGTGGTGGTTTGGAAAATACAGAGGAGCCAAAGTGTCATTCAAGTATTATCCTAAGAGAACAAAAGTCTTAACTCACAAACTAAAGAAGGAAGTTAAAGCAATGAGAAAACTGCAAAATAAGAATCTTGCTGTTTTTTGGGGTGGGTCTTCTATTTTCAAAAAATATGTATTTTTGTGTGATCTTGTTATTATCGTTTATAGATATTGACTATAGCATTAAAATTGTTAGGTCTTGTCATTGAATCTTTACACTTACGCGCGGTTTGGGAATATCACGAAAAAGGTTCATTGTATGACAGTCTCCGCAATGAAACATGGAACTTGAACAGTGTATTCACCTTGTCTTTTATTGACGACTTATTGAAGG